CGCCAGTTTGGGGGGGGGGGCTCTTGGCAGTGCAGTGCAGGCATCCTGACTCCAGGGGGCAGCGTTCAACAACCAACGGCCCCTGAGAGCCAGTTTGGTGTGTCGTGGTTGGGCGCGCCGGCCGGACTCTGATCTGGGAGAACCTGGTTTGATTCCCCGCTCCTCCTCCACATGCAGCTGCTGGTGTCATTTTCATTTTAATATAATTTTTATCGAGTATATATTTCATGTTTCATAAAAGTAATTCATATCCTTCTATATTATACTCTCACGTTTTAAACAAAAAATAAATAAATTGAGGTTACATTCCATCTACACAACCGACAAACCCAATCCCAATCCAGTTTGTATCCTCTTTTTTATTCCCTTATCCCACCCACTTATCAGCTGTTGGTGTGACCTTGGGTCAGTCACAAGTTCTCTCGGAGCTGTTCTCCCTCAATGGCGGTCCTCGAGAGAGCTCTCTCAGCCCCGCCTACCTCACAGGCAATGCTCCCTCAAAGCTGTGGAGTCTTGTGAGCAAAAAATTCTACTTTGTGAGCCATTGGTATTAAAGTTGGGAGCGAGTGATTTGGCTACTGCATAAATTAGTTTGCTTCTGGAGCCCCATCCTTCCTGAGCAAAGACAAAAATCGGGGAGCCAGGGGCTAAAAAATTGTGAGCTAGCTCACACTAACTCAGCTTAGAGGGAACACTGCTCACAGGGCGTCTGCTGTGGGGAGGGGAAGGGAAAGGAGTTTGTAAGCAGCTCTGAGACTCCTTCGGGTAGTGAAGGGCCATGTACAAGTCCAATTTCTTCTTCTTTCCTGCCACTGAGTGTATTCTAATCTGGGAGAACCAGGTCTGATTCCCCACTCCTCCTCCACGTGCAGCTGCTGGTGTGACCTTGGGTCAGTCACAAGTTATCTCAGAGCTGTTCTCTCTCTCAGAGACAGTCCTCGAGAGAGCTCTCTCAGCCCCACCTGCCTCACAGGGTGTCTGTTGTGGGGAGGGGAAGGGAAAGGAGACTGTAGGCCGCTCTGAGACTCCTTCGGGTAGTGAAGGGCCATGGGGTATAAATCCAATTTCTTCTTCCTCCGCTTCCCAGGAATTGTGAGGCAGGACCCCAAACTCCTGGAAGACAGAATTGTGCCACCCCCTCCGAGACCGGCAGGCTCCATTTTTGATGCTGAGGATGAGAAATCCCAGGTAAGCCCTGGGGACCAAGCCTGCGGGATGTGGCAGAAGCCGCCCCCCCCAAAAAAAACCTTCCGGGGCTCTGCAGGGGTTATCAACTTTGGCTATTCCACACAGATCTGCCTCGCTGGTGGCACCGTTCAGGGCTTGCTCATGTTGCGGCTCACAGAGCAGAGCTGGAAAAGCCCAACAAAGGTTTTAAGTGGTTCTGATTAAGAACATCAGAGAGAAGCCAATGTTGGCTGAGGCCAATGGCCCCTCCAGTCCAACACTCTGTGTCACACAGGGGCCAAAAATACCAGGTGCCATCAGGAGGTCCAGCAGTGGGGCCACCCAGGACACTAGGAGCCCCCCCACCTCTTGCCCCCCCTCCAAGCACCAAGAAGACAGAGCATCACTTGCCCCAGACCGAGAGTTCCTATAAGAACATCAGAGAAGCCAGTGTTGTATCAGGCCAGTGGCACATCCAGTCCAACACTCTGAGTCACACAGTGGCCAAAACCCAGGTGCCATCAGAAGGCCAGAACTCCAGAATCCCTCCCACTGTTGCCGCCGAAGCACCAAGAATACAGAGCATCACTGCCCCAAACATAGTGTTCCATCTAGACCTCATGGCTAATGTCTGCTAGTGGACCTCTGCTCCACATGTTTATCCAATCCCCCCTTGAAGCTTTCTCTGCTTGTAGCCACCATGACTTCCTGCAGCAGTGAACTTTACATGTTAATTACTCTTTGCGTGAAGAAGTGCTTCCTTTTATCTGTTCTAAGCCTGCTCATAAATTTCACTGAGTGTCCACAAGTTCTTGTATTGTGAGAAAGGGAGAAAAGTACTCCTTTCTCTACCTTCTCTATTCCATGCATAATTTGTTAACCTCTGTCATTATCACCTTTCCATTGTTGTTTCTCCAAGCTAAAAAGTCCTAACCTGTTTAACATTTCTTCATAGGGAAGATGTTCCATCCCCTTAATCATTTTAGTTCTCCTTTTTTGCACCTTTTCCAATGTTATACCTTTTTTGAGGTGCAGTGACCAGAACTGTACACAGTATTTCAAATGACGGCTGCACCATCGATCTATACAGGGGCATTATGATACTGGCTGATTTGTTTTCAGTGCCCTTCCTGGTAATCCCCAGCATAGCATTTACTTTTTTTTATTCTCCTCCTTTTCTCTTATGTGTTATCCATTGTCTGTCATTCCAAGTGGGCACTGTGGTTGCATTTAGGTTGGACTATAACTTTGCCGCCTCCTCCTGTGGCAGTGAGTTCCACGTGTTGGTCACTCTTTGGGCGAAGAAGGACTTCCTTTTATCCGTCCTAACCCGTCTGTGGTGCTTTGGTTTGAGGGGTGGTTTTGTCCTAATGCCCGGGGAGTCTGAGCGTGTGAAGCTGCCCTCCAGCGAGGGAGGCTCTAGGGAACCTCAGGCCGGGCGGGGCCTCTCCTGCTCCTGCTGGGGTGGCACGGGGGCAGGACCTGCCCGCAAGGCAGGCAGGCAGGCAGGCAGACACTTCCTGATCCTGTCACGTCCTAGAAACGCAGAGCTGGGAGGGGTCCCAAAGGGTCATCTAGCCCCCAATCCCCCAGTGACCCCCGCTGTGTGCCCAGAAGAAGGCAAAACTTCTCCCTGGGCCAGTCTTGCTGACCCCAGAGTGGCGATCGGCATTTCCCTGGGCGCGTAAGAAAGGGGCACGAGAACTAAGCCCTGCCCTCCCTTCTCCTGATCTGCCCAAGTTCACAGAATCTGCACACGGCTGTCAGACGGCCACCCAGCCTCTGCTTGAAAATCTCCAAAGAAGGAGAGCCCACCACCTCCTCCTCCTGAGGAAGCCTGTTCCGCTGAGGAACCCCTTTGACTGTCAGGAAGCTCTCTAATGTTTAGCTGAAAACTCTTCTGGTTGGATTTCAACTCGTTGGTTCCGGTCTGGCCTTCCGGGGCCACAGGAAGCCACTCTGCTTCCTCCTCTCGCTGATAAATGTTTTGGGGACCTTTGGCCCTTGGGGGGGCCGGAGTGGGGCCACGCCCCTGTCTTCTCCCCCATGGCCCCGGGCTCACCCCGCCTCCCTCTCTGCCGCAGATGCTGGTGAGGCTCCTCCAGAGCAAGGACCCGGAAGACCTGCGGGCTGCGAACCGGCTGATCAAGGGGCTGATCAAAGAGGTGGGCGTCTCCCTCGGAGGCCGTCTCGCCCAGAGACACGGGCAGAGTTTGGGGGTGCCCTCCTCACCCCTGCCCCGCTTGGTTGAGCCTGGGGGGGGTGGGGGAGGAAGGGGCCCTTGGCGGCTGATCCAATTTGGAGGCCATCTAAGCGTGCCGGGCTCTTGCAGGAGCAGGAAAAAACAGCCAAGGTGACCCGGCGGATGAATGCCGTCAAGGAGGCCCAAAGCCACGCTGAGGCCTTGGAGGAGAGGCTGAGCCGCTGCCCTGCGCGAGGCGGGGGGATCGTGGCCCAGCCTGAGCCGCAAGAGCTGCAGGTACGCCCCCCTCCCCCGCCTTTGCTCTCCCTGGCGAGCAGAGAGCACGGCTTGTGCCTGCGGGGCCTTCATCCCGGCCGGAGAGTGGCCCCTGCACAGGAGGCCGGTGCGAAGTGGGTGGGCCCTTTCCCTCGGCGTCGGCGGTGTCTGCCGGAGGGCCCCTGGAGCCCCTTGCCGCTCTAGGACTCTGCATTTTACCTGGCTCCATGGTTTTAAGCCAGCGTCTCAGGGAGGGTCTTCTTTGGCTCTCTCCTTCCTCAGGACCTGCAGGCCAAGTGTGAGAAGCTGAAGCCCCTGATGTTCCGGGTGGCCAGTGAGACCCTGGAGGATGAGGCGGCTTTGGGTAACCCCTGGGACCCGGGGAGGGCGGGGAGGACAGAGGCGGGCAGGTGGGCGGCGGCAGGGGGGGGATTGGGGCAGGAGGTCGCCAGGAGGAAGCAGCACGAGTCTGGGGAGGGGAGGGGGGGGTGAACTCAGACCTGGTCCCACAACCAAATCTGTGCCCAGACTGAATGTGCGGCTAAGCCTGAGTCAGTCACAGGTTCTCTCAGAGCTGTTCTCTCAAGGGCAGTTCTCGGGAGCGCTCTCTCAGCCCCTCCTACCCCACAGGGGTGTCTGTT